TGGCTATATATTTAAAAGCTTTCATTTGCTTTCTTTACTAATCAGTTTATTGCTACGCTTTCACAACTAGACACCCTGTGATCATTCTTAATAGTTTCCTTAAAGAAGCCAATTCCAAATAATTGTTTACGATCTTGGCTCTTTTTCGACATAAGCCATATAGTTACAGTTAACTATATTTTTAGATTTGGAAGCAACTCTTGTTATCTGATACGGAAGTGAAAGCATTAATTTTGTGTGTATGTGACATTATCGGGTGAGGAAGATATTCATGAGCCCAAGGTTTGTTTTTGGTTTTTTTGCAGAGTTATTAAACTAACAGTAAAATAATTTACAAGATGGTTTTTGTTCTTTCCTCACAAGCTATTTTCCAGAAACATTAGGATGCAATTCCTACAATCCCCAGGAAATTTGATTATTTATCTGATTGTACTCTTAGCTGGGACACATTCAGACATCTAACTTTAGTGTTCTAAAATAAGCTAAGAACCTACCTTTAAATTCTAAGAATTTGCAACCCAGATGGTCGCAGGGTTTCTTTGTCATATGTTGTAAGTTGTTCACTTTCAGTGAGCTAAATAAATAATTGTGTTTGTACTCCTACGTATCAAGCACGTGTGTGTATTTAATAAACACTTGCAGTATTTAAAAATTGATAGTTACTAATTGGTTAGTTGCTTATGTGCCATGAAATCAACATTGACTCTAGCAGTTACATTTTATATCCCGGAATTTTCTACTTGTATTATTCTTATTCATACAAGGTCTTAAGTGTGAAATAGGATGAGTAGCCATTTGATCTTAAATAAGATTAAATGTGCTTGCTAATTCTCTCTGGGATAAGCTGGGTTAGTGACCCCATCTCAAAATAGTATATGAAAGCTTCTTAGAAATCTGACTCTTTGTTTTAGCCTCCTCTGGAGTGAGAAGACACTAAGACAGCATGCTTGGCATGCTGGTTAATATTTTCTTAACTTGCAATAAGTAGCAGGCAAAAGCAATAATTGCCAAGCGTTGTGTTTTGGTTCATTCTTGTGAGATTCTGTATTTGAATGCTAGGATGGTGTGGTGGGAGGGAATATACTTAAGCTGCATGAACACTTTTCTTCAAGCCATTGGTTTCTGCTGCTTGAAAAAAATGAATTACATTGTTGTCCCATTGAAGGCCAGAAAGGATCTCCAGTGTTGCTTGTCTTTTAATCTGGGAAATTCATAGAAATAAATTCAGGTCACTTTTATTGCTCACTTTCAGAACTTAAAACCCCATTCAGTCATGTGAATCTCCCACACTATCACACTATTTGTCGCATGGTATTAGCTTAAAATACGTTAGCTTTAATATGACTCATTCACCATACTGTGAACAGACTTGTACCCTAGCTCAGTTGTTTGTTTCCTTTAATGTCAAGTATTGGGCATATAATTAAGGTAGAATATTTGGAATAAATTTATCAGCTTCTCTTACAATGATGGCATATTGGCGCTGTCTTTAAACACAGTCTTCAGAAAAGTTTCAGAAAATAAGAAAAGTTGGAAAAATTACATTCAAAATCAAAGCAGTTTTGTGGAATTCCTACGGGTCAGTTATTCAGCCTTAAAAATAAAAATACTGATAATCAACATAAAAGTGGAGTCAAGAAAGTTGTAAGGAGTAATTAAGATCCATTTAGGTCATAGTTAAGAGAATGAAAACTTTCCAGTGTCCCACTATCCGTGAAAAAAATGAAGGTGAAAAGAGGTTGGTTTTTGTAGCAAAACAGCGATCTGAAATATACCTTCAAGCAGAAATACTTAAGAGAAATAAAGATTTTAAAAGGCCTTCCCAGTTCTCAAACTTGAATATAATTGAAAGTCTTTGTGGAGATCTCAAACATGTAGGTAGGCCTAAGACTATTTCAAAGCTATAACATTTCTACAAATAAAGAGTGTGAAAAATAAATAACAATAATTTTAGGAAAAGAATAGAAAGGCACTTAGTTGGCTATGATATTTAGAAACTATTATTTCTGAGAAAGAAGGTGATACAAAACTGCTGGTTAAAGGGGTATTCGAACTTTTACAAGTGCCATATTTTGTGTGCCATCGAAACCGTTTCTTATTTTCAGCTTGCAAACAACTGCACATAAATAATAAGTATGCATTCACATTTGCTAATAGATGGCATGTTTTACTTGTACATATAGAGACTATGGTAACTTTCCTCAGGGGTTCCTTGAAGCATACAGTTTAACCAATGTGCTTCAAACTCGCGTAATACTGTAATTGGGGCTCTTAAATTCTGTTTGTTAAAAGGAATATTACAATCCAGGATATTGCAGAAAAATGGAAACTTTGCATTGGTTTCTTCACAGCTGTTGTTGGAGGGGTATTTTTTTTTTCAAGATAGATTTTTCTTTTTTTATCTTCTCTAGTTTCTGTTCACATAAGTAGCTCCTTATTTTTGTTTCATGCTTGTTCTAATTATACTTGTTTTGCCTGTTCTTTCCACCTTCATTTTACTCTGTTATAGTGCATCAGTGTTGCCCAACTTTGTCAACTTTAAGTTTTAAAGAGTGGATTTCAACTCCCAGAATCCCCTAGCCAGCTGGGGAGTATTTGGGAAGTTGAAGTTCACACATCTTAAACATTGGGGAGTTGGGAAACACTAATGTACATGATCAGAGGTGAAGATTAGGGACTGAGAACCTGTTTTCTTGAGATATTAAAGCCTCTCTTGAGTTGATATTTCTTTATCTAAACAAAGAAACAAAATGACCAAGGGCGGGGGGGAAAAGCAGTGGGAGCAGGGGTGACTTCTGACTTCCCACTGGCTTTCCTATTCAGATTTTCTTGTGGAAATCTAGGAGTATTGGAAATCTCCCTTCCTTCCTTCCTTCCTTCCTTCCTTCCTTCCTTCCTTCCTTCCTTCCTTCCTTCCTTCCTTCCTTCCTTCCTTCCTTCCCTTCTTGCCTTCAGGCAGGTTAGTGGGTCCTGCTAAGTGGGGGAGGGAACAAGGGATTGTGAGACTGGCTGGGAAACTGTCATGGAATGTTGAAAATGAAGATCATGTGGCCACAGCAGTAGCCAGTAGCATTGAAGCAGTCACAACTTCCTCAAATTTCATTCTCTTGGAAGTCACGGGTCCCAAATTTTGTATGCATTCTGTAAGTTAGCCCATTTAAAGTACCTTGGTTCAAAAAATGTTGCCCTGTGATGCCCATTTAAAAGTCACAACAATGAGAGGTTTTGTAGTATATAGATTACAATAGTTTAGGTAAGTGGTGATAAGGGCATGAATTAACATTGCAAGGTCTTTTGGCTCTAAACAGAGTCACGGTTGGCACCCCACCTGAATCATAGCCCTTGGCCACTGTCTCCTCCTGTCCATCGAGTAGTAACCACAAGTCTAGGCGGACCAATACCTTGTGGAGCTACTCTTTCAAGGGGAAGTACTATTCTATCTAAATACAGTACTAGAGATATCAAAAAACTTTGATGGACAGATAGTAACTCTGATATATTTGGGTTCAACTTCAGCCTATCACAGGCTGGAGATTCTGAGCCAAGGCATTGTCAGCATCCCTGGTGTAGCAGTGTATAATGGGATGTCCCCAGCATACTGATGGTACCATAACCTTTACATTGATGGATGGCCTACTCAGGTGGCTTTGTCTGCATGTTAAAGAAGTGACAAGATCCAAAGCTCTCGCCTCCTCCTCACACCCACAAACTGGAACTGGCCGCCCAAGGAAGAACAGGCAGTGCCTCCAGTCCTTACTTGGGAGGTAATTCTAATTATTTGAATTAACACAACTAATTGACATGGGTTAGAAGGTTCCATAACTCTAGTGAGCCTCCTGTCAGTAGGAATGAGCTTCTAGTAAGGCCACACTTGATGTTAACATCCTAAGGGGAGGAGTGAAGTTTAAAGCAATCCATCAGGGGTGTGAAAGTATCTGAGAACATGACGGAAGCCAATGCTCTTAGGACAGGGAACTCCACAATTAAACCTGGAAGAAGGTAAAAAAGCAAATCATTTTTGAATTCTTATCATGAAAACTGTGAGCCTGACTCAGACATGTGAGCACATTTGTCAGGCAGATGATAAGACCCTCAGCTTGCCCAAGTTAAGGAGTACTTTGATACTTCATAAATAGTTCTGGAAATGATGATATAGTTAGAAGAACAACGTTGAGGTGAGATTGGCTCCCTTGCTGGCGATAGTAATCATTCCTCCCTCCCCCCAGAATATTCAAAGATAGAATGAAAGAAAGAAAAAGTTAGGAAAACATTAAAATCCTCCGAGTGGAAATGAAGCCTATTAAATTAAAAACAAGAAAATGAGAGAAATGATGTAAGAGAAATCACAGGAAAACTTTCAGCTAATGAGACTAACCGTTGTGTAGGTTTATGCATGCAAATA